AGATATTAGAGAGAAAATATATATACATACATATTAAAAAAAAAATAAAAAAAAATGAAAATAAGAATGAAATAAACATATTGGTATTCATTTAATTATTTTTTCACACTTTTTACCTAAATAAAATAAAAGAAAAAGAAAGGAAGAAAAAAAAATTCAGATTAAAATTTAAGGGATTTCCTAAAAAGGGCATAAGATCGACACAAAAGAAATTATTTTACGTAATTACTGCGTTTATGCCAAAAAAAACAACAAAAAGATAAAAAAAAAAAGTATAAAAGGGTGCAAATAATTCTTTTATAAATTCTTTTAGGACTTTAGGGTTACTCACTTTGTCCGTATAATTTTTTAAAGTAAAAAAAAAAAAGAAAAATTTTTTTTTTATTGAAAAATGTCGCAATCAACTTTTTATGTTGTTAAAAGAGGGTATATGCCCGATACTAAAGTCCCACCATCTCCTCCACAAAGACCTTCTAATAAGCCAATATTTCTAAACGACGAAGAAATAGTTTTTCTTTCAACCTATGACTTTGCTATAAAGGTTGAAGTCCTTTTGGCAAACTCGAGGGGTAACAGAAGACCTAGAAGAAATTCTGGTCCACCTAGACCACAAAACGCCTTCATATTATATCGAAGAGATAAAGCTAAAAAGCACAAAAATGAACATAAAGGGTTAAGGTCATGCGATATTTCAAAAAAAATCGCAAAAATGTGGAGTGAGGAAACCCCGGAAGTAAAGGTTTTATTTGAGGCTTTGTCAAGATTGTCAGAAAAAGCCCATAATAAAAAATACGGAAATTACAAGTACAGGCCAATGTCGAAAAAAGACAGAAATGATAGGGAACGTTACAGTCCTATTCCCGATAGTCCCTCTTCGCTTTCTTCGTCATCAAGCTACGGACCTATTTTTGAGGATAATGCGGATAATAATGATATGATTTTGGACGAGTTTTTTACGTTTGATGATTCAGATGAATCTTATAATACGGCTTCTAATTTTTCCGGATTGAGTGATATATGGGCAAAAAAACCTAGCGATATTTCTGGTACCTTGGACGGAACGGCTATTAACGAACCTAACGATGTCACTACCGAAACTCTACGTTCTGAAAACACTACGTCTTATGGGGTTGCAGGTAATGCAATCAATTCTAACGATATGCCAAACTTTGGTAACTTATATACTCCTCCAGCTGGACCCATCCAGTTTGATGATAATTTTCTTATGTTCGCTTATCAAATGTATACTTTTTTTAATTCCATGAGCGCAAATCCAATGAGACCTGGTGCTGAAAATACAGCATTTTTAGGCTCAACTTTTAATGAGCCAAATTAAACTTCTACTGGGAAATAAATAATTAATCCCAAAAATTTTTTAACCATTTGGTTATCCAGATACCCCCTCTCTCACATACAAGTTTTTACTTGTTCAATTTTTTTAAAATTAAATTACAAGATTGAGTTTAGTTTAGTTTTCTTTTTGATGAAAAAGATTTCTTTCTAGTTTTTTTTTTTAGTTTTATTTTTTGTGTAGTTTATTAGTAAGTAAACTTAAGTTTCTGTTAATAAACTTATATATTTCATTTTTTTTTCACTTTTAGTATTAAAAAATACGACATATTTGATAATATATCTTACTAGTCGTATTCTCCCTTTTTTTTCATATATATTTTACTTTATTTTTTTTAATGTTCCAAAATATCTTATACTGCGGTGTGATATTATCTAATTTTGGAACAATCACATTATCACGTTTTAAATTACGTTTTTTCAACAATGTAACAATGTTGAAATTTTTTCTGATTGCTTAAAATAGCATACAAAAAAAAAACGATGAAATAAATTTAAAATGTTGATAATGATTTCATTAAATTTATTATTATTATTATTATGAAAAATGCCCAAAATGGGGATAATAACAACTTATTAATAACGAAGAAAAAAAAAAAAGTTTTTTTTTTTTATACTATAATTAAAGTATATTTTTTTTTATAATAACTTACAATAACGCATACATAAAAAAATACAACAATCAAAAAAGGAAATGATATGAATGAAAGATTAGTTGTTATTGAAATAAAATCTCCATTAGTTAATTACGTATATTTTACCATAAAAAAATACAAAAGCCAATTTTTTTTGATGACCGACCGAAACAAAAGCAATGTAACTATAACTACGGCTGCGCTACAGTTATAAATACAGTATATATTAATTATATATATGTATATGACTATTATTTTTTGAGAACAAAAGCAATATTAATTTATTTATATATATTAATTGATATATAAAAAAAAATATAAAAAGGAACCTTTCAAATCATTGTCGAAAAAAAATTTTCTTGTTCCCTTTTTTTTATATAAATTCACAAAAATTTACCCTTGCCAAAAAAAACAAAAAAAAAAAAAAAAAAAAAAAAAAAAAAAAAAAATAACAAATTAAAAAAAAAAAATAAAATTATTATTTTTATTTTTACCATGTCTTGCAACATTTCTTTTGCCATTGACCTTATTAACAACCCCCTTGTACCTCAATCACCACCACCACCACCACCTGAATCAAACAGTTATAATAATTTTATTATTGGAAGAAATATGAGCGATTATGACTTTATTAAGTCTTGGGGTTATCCTTTTAGCATCGATGTCGATGTTTTATTAGCTAATTCCGAAGATACAAGGGATGCCAAAAGAAATAAAAAAAAGGGAACCGGAAAGGTGCCTCGCCCACCAAACTGCTTCTTTATATATAGGAGAAACAAGCAAGCAGAACTAAAGGCTTTTTATCAACTTACTCAAGGAAGGACCAATGAAAAATCTGCAAAAATTTCAAAATTTATTGCCGAAGAGTGGAGAAATGAACCTGAGAATGTAAAAGATTTATTTAAAACTATGGCGAGAGAAGCGGAAAGGCTACATGCAATTAAAAACCCAAACTACACATATAGACCAAGACAAAAGAAAGGCAACAATCGAGAACATTACGAAAATATTAGCGAGACTGGTTCTGATTGGAGTGATGATAAGTTTGACTTATCTAAATATATCCTCTCCCCAAGCATCACAAATACTTCCACCTCTTCTCAATCGGATACCGCTAGTTCAACTAATTCCCCATTGGTCGACATGGGTGAATTTCCTAACGACAATAACGATATTATTCAAACTGATTCCCCATTGGTTCTTAATTATAGTGACGATAACGATGTTAGTGACTTCCCATTGGTCGGGGTTTTATTTTATAACGCTGAAGACTTCACCCTTGATCAACCAATCAACCCAGACGACATGTTCGTCGAACATATACCTCCCTTGATCGACAACGATCAAAATCAATATAACGAAAGTATTGATGATGATAATTTTGAAAAATTGTTTAACCAGTTCATCATTTGCGATTGATCTGGATATCAGACATCTCTCTCTCTCAGTTCTCAATCGAGAACACACATTTTTTTTTAGCAAATATTCTTGAATGTTTTTTTTTTTAAAGAAATTGAAAAAAATTATTTTTTAATTTAGATGGAGACATTTATTATTTAGTTGACATTTGTTTTTTAGGAAACATTTATTATTTAGGGGACATTTATTTTTATTTCAAGTAGGAATTCAAATTATTGAGTAAAGTATTTTTTACTATTTTTCTCAAATGATTATTGTGTTTTAAGAAACACGCTTTTTTTTTTTAGTCATAATATTAGCTAAAAAGGAAACACGCCTTTTTTTAGTAATAATATTAGTTATAAAAAAATTTTATTTTAAACTTTTCCGGATTTACTATATACGCTATTAGCCGTATAAATTATACCAAACATATGCCTTTTTTATTACCTAAGCTACATATATGCTTTTTCTATGAAAAATTTTTTTTTTAAGTTTAATACTATGCCTTTCTTTTATGTTTTTTTTTAAAGATTTTTAAGATTTTTTTTTTTAATTTATTTTATTATATAAGATTTAAAAGTTTATTATATAAGATTTAAATAAGTTTTTATAAACAATCTATGTATTTATTTTTTTTAAGATTTATAAGAAAAAAAATAAACGAAATTTTTTTATTAAAAATAAAATTCTTCTCTAAATGTGGTATTACTTGTAGTACAAGAATAAATCGGGTGAGTCCTTTTCTCCTTTTCTTATTAATTAACGATCCATTAAATATTTTGCAATTGTTTTCGATAAAATTGTTTTAGAAAGAAAAAAAAAAAAATATTTATTATTTACTCAAACTACTCAAACAAGACGTCATTAATAATTCATATTGTTTAAAAAAAAAAAATATTCGCACAATCAAAAGAATTTTTAACTTAAAATTAATTTTATTTCAGGAAATTTATTTTAAATATTTAAAACCATTTATAGAGTCAGTGCCACGTAATAATAATAATAAAAAAAAAAAAGAATCCGGAAAAACTGAAATATACAAGTTATTTAACCTTAATTGAACAAATGAAAAATGATTATACAGATTATACAGAGAACTTATTTAATGGCTGTCTCTTATACACATCTAGATGTGTATAAGAGACAGAAATATACAGTATATATAGTATTATATATAGTATATATAACATTTTAAGAAAAGAAAAAATATATATGTAATTTTTTTTTTTTCAAAACACTTTCCTTTATTACACTTTTTTATTTTTTTCGTTTTTGTTTCTGTTTTATTTCATCGAAAAAAAAAAAACAATTTAAAATGTCACAAAACCAAAAACGAAAGCAAAAGCTTAACAAACCTGCAAGACGGGGCTATTGTGTATTTACGGTTGAAAAAAACGGAGAAAAATCCTTACCCCCACCACCATCACCGCCGGACCCGAGAAGTGCCATACGGTTTGATATTAAGAGCGATGAAGACATCGTTTATCAATCTAATTATAAATTTAATATCAAAATTGAAGTCCTCATTAACAATTCAACAAAATCACGATGTTCTAAAAACAATGAAAAAAATGGTACTAAAAATGCTCCACGCCGTCAAAACGCTTGGATACTTTATCGCAGAGATAAAAGTATGAATAAAGAATTTGAAGGGTTGACAACTGCAATTGTTTCATTAAAAATTCGCGAAATGTGGGAAAAAGAACCGTGGGAAGTCAAAGAATTATTTTCCGCTCTCTCTCGTTTGGCGGAAAAACGTCACATTGAACAATACGGTAAAAATTATAGATATCAACCCGTCCACATGAAAAAACCTAAACCAAATCAACCAAATAAAAGGAATAAAAGGAAAGTAAAAAAAATAAATAAGAAATTAAATAATTGTGAGTTTTTTACGACAACATTAGATTATTTTGCACCTGAAAATGAAACAATGAAATCACCCCCTTCAAATGATAATAGAATTAATGATACCAATAGCACTTCCAATAATACTTCCGATAGCACTTCAGAAAACTTCTTACCACCAATAGAATATGATCGAAACAACAACATTTGGCAAGATCCTATGTTAAAATTTAAGTTAAACGATGAGTATTCTTTCGTCAATAATTTTATTGAAATCGATGAAACAAATGAAATTAATGAAAAAAACGAATTTAATGAAAATACCGATATAGAAACATATGGAATATTTTCTTAAACTTTCAACGCATGATGATTCGCGAATGTTATCCTGGTAGATACTAAATAAGATATGAAAATAATAACTTTTTTAATATTTTAAATATTAAATTTTAAAGAATTCCTTCTTTTTTCCCTAATTTTTTTTTTCGTTTTTACTTCCCTTAAAAATTAAATTGAGTTTCTTTAATTAAGTATTCTTTTTTTCCCTTTACGATAAAATTGTTTTTTTTTATTATCTAAGATTTTTATTAATAATTTTTTTTCAACACTCGGGAATTACTTTTATAAAAATGTTAAGATGTTTAGAATTTTTTTACATATAAAAATTGCCAAAATATAGGTTTGTTGTTTCACAAGAAAAAACCAATTTTTCCGGTGTTGTGTTCTGTTACACAACCAAAACACATTCCTTTTTGAAATAACGACACCCCCAATTTTCTTTGACGGACGAGAATTTAAATATTTTTAGGTTCTCTTTTTTTTTTTTTTTTTTTTTCCTTCGATATTTCGAATATTTTTTTAGAATCTTAAAAAAAATCGTGATTTTTTAAGCCCATGAACGGGTTCTCCTTAATCTTTCATTAAAAGATTTACTTACCAATAATAATAAAATGATGAAATGATATTTTTTTTTTTTTTTTT